GGCCAGCCTAGATTCTCCAGTCGTGCTAAAGAATACTGGGCCTATTGAAGCTCAAGAAAAGTCTTTCATCTAGGGTTCCACATAAGAACAAACCTCTATTCCCACCTTCTTGTTCCAAAGCGTCAAAGAAAAACCCTAGCTGAGCTCGTTTCAGGTAAGTTTCAATTTTTGCCTTCAAAGTCCCAAATATTTAATTATACGTATATTTCTTCATTTTATTTCTCGTTATTAAATTGTTTGTGCAAATCTATCAGTGAGTAGTGTAAATGAAGTTAGCTTTCAACTGAGTTTAATATGAAATCATTGCATCAAATGCTTGAATAAACTTGGTTACATCTTACATATTGAGTAGATATTCATATTATTCAATAAACTGAAATTATGGAATATTGATATACGATTATTTATCTGTTTGTTATTTATGAGGTACATATTTATGCAAGATTATATTTTAATTTAAGTGGTCACCTGTCTAGTTAGATATAAGCTCAGTTAGCAGACCGATGAGCTCGTGAATCATAGCAAGTGTTCCAATTAGGTATTTATGAAAATTTGAGTTCAATTGGAGGATGATTTTTTTTTTGTTGGGATTTTAATTAGGCATATGAGTTCAACTGGTAAAGTTGTTGCCATGTGACCGGGAGGTCATGGTTCAAGTCGTGAAAACAACAGAAATGCAGGTAAGGCTGCGTACAATAGACCCTGTGGTCCGGCCCTTCCTTACCCCGCGCATAGCGGGAGCTTAGTGCACCGTGCTGCCCTTTGATCAGGCATATGTAGAACTCGAAGCAGGGCTATACGTTTTGCTTATCTAACTACAAGTTTTGAAAGCTGAAATTGTGTAGCTTTGCGACTACTGAAACTTGGATTGTGAATAGCAACTTGTTTATAATGAATACCAAGGGGATATCTCAAGAATAATTCTTGAATGCAAGCGAATGCCTCGGTATGTGAATTATAATGATAAGCCCATCTAGAAGCAAAACTACATAAAAAAGACCATTAAGAAATTTGTGCTAGAACACCTATAAGATACCATATGTGGAAATAGAACATGTTGGAATGTATATTCACTTGTACAAGAGCATTTTGGTTGGCCTATGTAGTTGGTTGGTTTGGTTTGGCCTACTAGTCAGCATTCATTCTAAAACTAATCTAGTTGAACTGCCCCATCTCGTAAGCCTTTAAAGATCTGCTCTTTCAGGTTCTCTCAGTAAATCCACCAAAGTTCTGTGCATTCTTGGTTCATTTTGCTCCAGGAATGCCATCTTTTATTGATATTGTTTCTTTTCTATGGTGCTGAACAATGTCATATATGGGTGGAGATAAAGGAAAATGCTAGATACTGTTGCGTACGCAATTTATATTTACTTGTGTTTTTGTTCCTTAAAATGGTCTGGTATTCAGTATCCTGGAAGCTGCTGTACGTGCGCTAGCTCTGTATGGACAAGAAATGCTCAGCAATTAATGCTTCCCTGAACTTCTCCATATTCATGTTATGAAATCACAAAACTCTTAAACTTATTGAGATAGTTCATGTTGTTTGAATTATAACTATTGATAATGCTTCTTAATTATTACTTCAGATAATGTTAAACTAGTCCCCCGAGCCTTTACATGTTCAAATCTAACTTCTTAAAATGTTTACCCTATTTTCCCTGAGTTATTTCTTATTGTTTGTATAGTAACTTCTCATATGCTTTCTCGTCTCCTAGGGCTGCCTCTAATATTTTTGAATCACATAGACCTACTTCTTTAATTGCCAAAATTATGTGTCTTTTCATGTTACATTGGTGATTATTTGACCTAATCATAAATTTCCTAGGCTTTTCGAATTGTTAGTACCTTCATTCCATGTCATCGGGTTGCACAGGTAAACCATGAAGCATAACAATGTTATCCCCAACGGGCACTTTAAGAAGCATTGGCAAAACTATGTAAGGACATGGTTTAACCAACCTGCTCGAAAAACAAGGAGACGCATTGGTGAGTTTCCATTTGTTGGATGGCTTCAAGTCTCAAATTAAGCTTTGGCTCTAGTATACTTACATTTCCTGACCTCTTTTGTTTCTACAACTCCAGCTAGGCAGAAGAAAGCTGCAACAATCTTCCCTAGGCCAACAGCTGGACCACTCCGACCTATTGTTCATGGACAAACACTAAAATACAACATGAAAGTCAGATCTGGCAGGGGATTCTCCCTAGAAGAGCTGAAAGTGAGATTCATTCGATCTAAAATTGCACTAGATGTTTGCTTTTACCCCTCTCCCCTCTCTCTCTCTCAAAAAAAAAAAAAAGAAAGAAAGAAAGAACAGAAACCACAACCTTCAAAAAATGGGAATAATGTAAGAGTGCCGGGGTTGAACTTGTTTCCTTGTTGGCATCTATGTTTCATGCTGAGCTTATTTAGAGTTTGACATGTTGAGCTGACATAGAGTTTAGTTCTTGTGCAAGCAAGTTCATGGGTCAAAAAGCTCTTTACTTATCTATTCCTTTTGATTGGGGATGACTCCATTTTACACCTCTCTTTTTAAGTTGCACCTATGACTTTTGAAGTCGATCCATGTCATATCCTTTGTTTCCATTTTTCTCTGCCAGAACACATCATTCTTTACCATCTATTAATATCTAAAGATTTTCTTTTGTTTTCAGGCAGCTGGTATTCCCAAAAAACTTGCTCCAACTATAGGCATTGCTGTGGATCACAGGCGCAGGAACAGATCCCTAGAAGGTCTCCAGACCAATGTCCAGAGGCTCAAGACATACAAAGCTAAGCTAGTCATCTTCCCAAGGCATGCTAAAAAAGTCAAGGTAAACCTGAGATCACTGTAGTCATGCCTGTCTGCTGTTGACAATGAAAATGTTGTTGTCTTATTGGTATTTTCTTGGAGCAACTTTAAACTTACATCTTCTCCAACACAATTGCACAGGCTGGTGATTCTAGCCCCGAGGAACTTGCCACTGCCACTCAGGTCCAGGGTACTTACATGCCCATTACTAGGGAGCAGCCCACTATTGAGCTTGTGAAGGTCACAGATGAAATGAAATCATTCAATGCCTATGGCAAGTTGCGTATTGAGCGTACAAATGCGCGTCATATTGGTGTGAGGTTGAAGAGAGCAGCTGAAGCAGATAAGGAAGAGAAGAAATAAGATAATAGAAATGTCTCATGGCCTTGTGCACTAGCATTGTTTTTTTTTGGATGAGTTTGGACAATGAGTTATTTTGAATTTTTACTCCTGTGCTACATATTAAGGAAGTCTTTTACGCTCTTGTCAGACTATGATTCTTGTAGTAGTGGTTACCTTGAAGGTTAAGTTCCGGTTATTTTGTTGCTTTTGATATACTTGATTCTAGCTCTGCATTGGTAATTATCCAAATCAAGGTAGTTTTATGAATTATATTGTCTTTTAATTTGATTAAATAAGCCCTAAGCTTCGTGATTTTTTTGTAATTTGTGTTGCTTCATCCAGAGGGATCAATGCTCTGTTTTGTTGTGTAAAACATGTTAGAAATCTCATATTCTGACTGTTGGTGACAGATTGATGGTATGTTGATATATTTTGGAGTTGAGCTACATTTCTGACGAATATTGACACGCAAGTTTCATAGGGGTATATTCAACAATTTAAGTCGATTAAACATTTGACCAGATGGAGAAATCATAAGAATTAGACATTTAATATGATTGATGAGTCTGGGGAACCATCTGTCTGAATGGATAAAGAGCGCATCAATTTACAGATTCAGATTTCTGCTTTGCAACGCCAGCAGTGGACAATGAGCATTTTAACTTGTGAAGTGGTAATGGGATCCGAATACTCGGTTTGTAAATTTTGATTGAGGTTATTCTTTCTTACTAAGAAATTAAAAGGGTTTATTTTGGTGTTTTTTGTATCGATTTTGTGTTAACTTATTTTATGTTTATGGTTAATTGATGATCTAGTTTTATGGTTGTGAATCTTTAGTGGTTTCGATGATTCTGCTTTCCTAAGAAGTTCGGATACATGTGTATGAGATTATATGATCTTATTGCTAATTTACTCTTTTGATGTGCCATTTAAATAGCAATATTATATCAAAATCAGAACTACTCAAAACATTGTGGTCCAGTAGTTGTAAGTAACAATGTAGGGAATATATTAGTTGAAGTAAAAATTAGGGAATAACTAGTGGGGTCATCTAGAAATAAGCGTGAGTCAGGTCATAACGGATTGAGTCAATAGATTTTGGTTGGGTTCGATTATCAATTATTTAAGAAAGACAAAATAGTGGTTCCGTCTAACTTAGGGTATGAATGAGCAAGTATTGGACGGTCTGAACACATCTATGCTAAACTAATAATGACGGACATATCTGTCCTAATTTGCATAGTTCACTAGCATATTTGGCCATTTTCCGTTATCGTTATATATAAATTAAACTCAAAGAAATAAGTAAAAATTTAGATCCGAACATACTGAACAACTGCGATCACCGCCTCATGCGCTATTTTCCATGTGCTTTAGATTCCAGTTTTTATCATTATTAAAAACTTTGTCCAGTACTTGTTTGATTAGTTTTTAAGTTATTAAGAGATAACTACAGATCAAGATCCGAACAAAATTAATATTCTCGTACTGACGAACAACTGCGATCATATGCTAGACAAATTGAACTTAATGTTACTACTGTACTAGTATTTATTAATGAAAGAATCGCCTGGTGGACAAGGTATTCCGCATCTTAAGGGGTGTGATGTACACAGCCTAACTTAATGCAAGTATGAGTGATTGCTTTCACGCATCAAACCCGTGACCTATAGATCACACGAAAACAACTTTACCATTGCTATGGTACCCCCTTCAAATTAATACGCTCGTACAGCTCTAGATCCGAGCAAAATTAGTGTTCTCCACTGACCAACAACTGCGGTCATATGCTAGCAGGTTAAAAATGCATCATACTGATGCAACAGTATTATTTATTAATGAAACGAACAAAATTAATATTCTTGTACAACCGATCAAAAGTTTATCCTTATTTAAGACACCTACCGACTAAAAATAACTCATGTTTCCACAGCAACATTTCTTGAAGAAAAAAGAAAAAAAAAACTAACAAGAATCTTTATGTATACAAGAATGTATTTAAACTGTTTTAATTAAGACACATTTCACTTGGTGAATTGAAAAATATAATTAATACAATGAGACAGAACCAATATTTCTTTTTCCTCCAACGTACGTACATGTCCATTTTTCTTGTGCGCATGGTAATACTGCATATTTCTGGATCAATGTCTTCATGTCCTCATCTAGCTAGTTGTAGAGACTAGAGTGATGAGAAAATGGGGACACCTGGTAAGGTAGTTCCTGCGTCCACAATGAAAACATTGCCCGATATATATTCTGAAGTACCTCACAACTGATGTTAAAGCCGGATCTATTAAGGAACGGTTTTGTTGAACCATTCCGATCCTTTTCCATAAGGCTCTCTGTTATCTCAGATTTGAAGACTCCGGGTGATACTCCCAATTCAAGGGCCATCATCTGCCATTAATTTTTTTATATAAATTAATTAATTACTCCTTCTTACACACTTTCCTTATTAAGAATGACATATTTCTACAATCGTAAATAATTCAACTTTAAATTCTTGCAGGAAAAGTAATTACTAGTATGTACCTTAGTGACCATGTCAAGAGCCATCTTCGAAGAAGCATAAGCAAGACTCCCTGGAAATAGTGCACGATTAAGACAAGTAATTGAGGATATATTAATAGCAGATCCTCCACCCCGTTTAGCATCGCGAATGCGTCTACACACATATTTTGACACCAACCATGCCCCTCTTGTATTGCTGTTATTTTATTATGCATTTTTATGGTACTAATATATCGGCTCCTGTTGCTTTTTGAGCCGAGAGTCTCCTGGAAACAGCCTCTCTACCCTTCGGGGTAGGGGTAAGGTTTGCGTACATATTACCCTCCCCAGACCCCATTTGTGGGATTATACTGGGTCGTTGTTGTTGTTGTTATATTACTCCTCTGGCAACTCCAGTGAAGAGTGCAATATATATATATATATATAGCCGCTGTCAAATTAAGTAGCAACTTATTTTACATTCTTAAAATAAAATTTCCTGCTATTTGGTTACCTCTAAGGCCGGCATTGTTAACCAAGGCATCGATGCGTCCGAAGGCATCCCAAGCTATTTGTACAGCGGCCTCAATGGTAGCACCATTGGCGGTGACATCAAGCTCGACGGCAATTGCACGCCGGGGGCCCTCTGAATTAATCTCGTCACAGAGTGATTTCAGTCTGTCAACACGACGAGCGGCAGCAATGATCCTGCAACCAGATTTCGCCAGGTCGAGACTGAACTCACGCCCAATTCCTGACGACGCCCCTGTCACCATCACTACTTTTCCTCTCAGTTCTTTCCATGGCTCCATTGTTTAGGTATGCAACTGCAGAGTGTTATGGATGCGTGCCTTTTATAAAAGAGCTGAGGGGAGTACCCATTAGATATAACATATCCATCACACCAATTGGTTGTTATATAAAATAGACATTTTCATAGTTATATAACGATGATTTAAATATACAATACAACGAATTTAAAGTAACAAACCAAAACATTAGTTATTAATGTATTTAAAGTAACAATACAAATACAATATAACAAAAATAGACAATCCAAAATACTTGCCAATGACTCAAGCTAAACATTCAACCAATTCCAAGTAAGTAGTTGTTGGTATTCGTCTTTCAAACCTTGTTTGTTTTCTTCTTTTCAAAACTTGTTTTTATACCAATAAACACCTTTGTCTTGAGATCCTTCATCTTCCTCCCCATAGATGCACTCCTTTAAATCCCTCCACATTGCCTTATAGAATGGAGTACTATCAAATTGGTAGTACTCTCCTACTACTTGCTTGACAGCTTTGGTTGCCTCTATTGCATGGTAATGTGGCATGTTTGAGAATAGATGATGCACAACATGAGTATCGGTAATGTTGTGGAAGACCTTATTTAGCGCACCATATATAGTCTCGCCCTACAGTAGCTCTAGAGCTCCTCTTAGCCAATCCCATTCGGATAAGTCATAATGGGGCAATGAAGGGTGAGTGTGGTGCAATAAAGTGATTAAAACAATGAAGCCATTCACAATTAGGAGGGGTACCCCATAGATGCATACAAGCCAAGCTAGCCCTTGTGCCAAAGTAATGCGATACAACACATAAGTGGTCGCAATTAGACCTGTATCTGAGATGTAGATTTGTAGGCTCTCACGGTTAGTAAATATTGGGCCATATGGATCGTAGTGACATGCAAAGTAATGATAAGGTCTACCGGAGATATTGAAGGCAAAGTACAGAGGGAAGCCGAGAGTGAGGGTGAAGCCAAGTATGAGTAATCGCCCTAGTGGACTGTTCGAGTATTTGGTGTGCCATCTTAGTTCGGCTTTAAGCTTGGGCACATGGTTTTCATCACGCTCAAGAGAGTTAGTGTTGGAGTGGTGACGACGATGACTATATTTCCAAGAGAAGTATGGCACTAGAAGTGTAGAGTGGAGTATAAAACCAATGGTGTCATCTACCTGTTGGTAATCGTTGAAGGCACGATGACCACATTCATGGGCAATAACCCATATTCCAGTGCAGACACAACCATGCACGATCCAATAAGTAGGCCATGCTAGGTAACAATATGGGGATGGAAGGAGGTGGAAGTAAGTGGTAGCAATGTAGTAAAAGATGGAGACAAGTATGAAATCCTGGAATAGATAGGAGAAGGAACGAATAAGAGGTCAAATCTTTCATTCCGGTGGTTGCAGAATTCCTAATCTTGACAAACACCAATGTTCATCTCTATGAATTAGAGTTGCAAAATGTTGATGAAACTGAGGTATATATATGGCGGAGGATTTTTCGAAGGCTTGGGAACTATACTTGCCTGTCTGAAAACTTCCAAAATTACAACAGTAAATTTTTTGTAATAAGTTAGAGGTGGATTCAAGATTTAAATTTATTGAGTTCAATTTTTAAGATTCTTATCATCGAATTCATTATAGTGAAGTTATAAGTTCAAATTTGATATTTGTTGAGACTTAATAGGTTTTTACAAAATCACCAACTCAAACGCTAACATTAATTAGTAGGAGTAACTAAAACAAGAATGAACAAATCCAAAACACTGATAGATAAATATAGATTTTTGGTGAAAGAGAAGTACCTCAAGAATCAAAAGAGACTTCCTTACGCTAACCTTTAACTGAAAGCTCTCCCACTTACTCTCTTCTTTATAGAAAAAAGAGAACGAGAGGCTAAGGGTTTGGGCAACATTATTTGTTCATTAATGGCAGATAGAGGTCTAAATAGAATTATATTAATATCCTTGTACTGAATAAAAAAGGCCATATAATTGGTGGCGACTTCATGCGCCATTGTCCTAGTACAGAATAAAATAAGCGATTTAATTAAAACTTTGTTCATCTTTTTTAAATAATTAATATTAGATTCCTCACACAGTGATGATTAATAAATTCCCAATAATGCCATCTTATATCCTATTTAATTTTATGTCCATAGGGAATTGTTTTATCACTTGATTTGTTCTCTTTTTAGTTCAATCTGATAAAAAAATTGCTACTTAGTTTGTCCAGTTGTCTGATTACTGGAATCCCAGCAATGCTGTTTATTAAAAAGCCTAGAGACCACCAGATTAGTCTAATAGTACTGCGGAAAGCCAAAGGTATATAGTGCGAATGAGTCATAATTACTATACCAAAAATTATGACAGCCACCAAATAATAAATAAGACAATAAAACAACAATAAAAGGAACACCAGAATTTACGAGGTTCGACCAATTTTGCCTACTTCCTCAGACACAATCGATATTTTATTCCACTCCAAAAATACAAGTGAAATAATACTAAAGAGAGAAGATACAAATGCCTTAAGAAGATAAGAAAACAAATGAGAGGTGTGTTTAAATCCTAAACATTAGGCCTTCTTTTATAGGGAAAAAATCCCAACCAAATATGTCACCCACCGATGTGGGACTTTTGACATTTTCAACAAATCTCCACCTTGACAAAATTCCACATCTTCAATTTTCTCTCAATAACAAATTTTGTTGTGTCTTCATCTTCAATCTTAAGTGTTCAAAAATGTTGATCAAATCCAAACAATGTTGAAACTTGACCGTAGTCACCACCTTTGTCAGCATATCAACAGGATTATCGGTAGTATGAATTTTCTTTACCGTGACTCCACCTTCTTCTATGATTTCTCGTACGAAATGATACCGAACATCAATGTGCTTCGTCCTTGCATGATAAACTTGGTTCTTCGCTAATTGAATAGCACTTTGACTATCAGAAAAATTGTGATACTTTTTTGTCCAATGTCAAGCTCTTTTAGCAACCCCTGAAGCCAAATTGCCTCCTTCACAGCCTCTGTAATAGCCATGTACTCTGCCTCTGTTGTAGACAAAGCAACTGTTGACTGCAAAGTAGACTTCCAACTAACTGGTGCCTTTGCAAAAGTAAACACATAACCAGTAGTTGATCTTCGTTTGTCCAGATCACCCGCAAAATTTGAGTCACAATATCTAACTACAGATTGATTGCCTTCCTGCTAAAAAACTAACCCAACATCTACAATATTATGAATATACCGTAGAATCCACTTCACAACTTGCCAATGCTCCTTTCCTAGATTATGCATATATCTGCTAATAACTCCAACAGCTTGTGAAATGTCAGGTCTCGTACAGACCATTGCATACATCAAGCTACCAATATCATTTGCGTATGGTACCCTTGACATATACTCCTGTTCAGCTTCATCTTTTGGCGACATAGTAGTACTTAGCTTAAAATGGGGAGCAAGTGAAGTACTAACTGGCTTAGTCTTCTCATCTATGCCCAAACGTTGTAGTACTCTCTTCAAATATTCCTTTTGAGATAAATAGAGTTTCTTTGAATGTCTATCTCTTATTATCTCCATGCCAATAATTTTCTTTGCCTCACCCAGATCCTTCATCTCGAACTCCTTCTTCAGTTGAATCTTCAACTTATCAATTTCTTCCGAATTCTTAGAAGCTATCAACATATCATCAACATATAAGAGAAGATATACAAAGGAACTATCCTCAAGCTTGCGCAAATACAAACAATGATTGTATTTGCTTCTCTTGTACCCTTGCCGCAACATAAAATTGTCAAATCACTTGTACCATTGTCTAGAAGATTATTTCAATCCGTACAATAATTTTTCAAGTTTGCATACCAT